CGCCCCGACCTGCCTGGGAGTGCTTCAGTCCTGTACCGGACCTGTCCACGTTCTGCGGCCACTGGTCCACGTTCTGTAGTTTAGGTCCTGGATCTATAGCCCGTCTGTCCGTGGGAGCGGATCCCTTTCTAAAACCATGGGTCTCCCCGAGGTTTCTCACTTTTTCCCATTGGGTTTTCTTATGAGTTTTTCCTTGCCGATGCAAGAGGGTCTGTAGGGCAACTAGAAGGATGTGGTGATGATCCAGGACACTTTAACATTCTACAACATGTATGGACATTTTTCTTTATTTGTGTTTTAACTGTTGATACTCTGATCTGTGTTGGTGATTCAATGGTTTTGTTAAGTCCTCTGAGATGACTTTTGTTTTGATTTAGGGCTATACGAGAATAAATTGTATTGTATTGTATAGGATCACCCTATGTCGGTTCACAGCCCAAAGCGTCACATTTTGCCTTATGAGGCTTTTTCTGGCAAAAAATACAAACTTTCTAAAAAGACAAAGGCGACATGTTATGGTCTGAACTCTTACTGTTGGGACAATTTTGTCGTAATGTGATTATTTTATATTATGACTTATGTAGGATAAATTAAAATGACCTCTTTCCTCAATCAAAGACATTTTGTTGTATATTGAGACATATTATAACTTATGTCTCCACTGTGTGTAAATCCTTGTGGTTCAGGTTTTATTGTGGGCAAGAATGTCTTGAGATAAGTGCCATGGCAACACCCTTCCCCCAACGACTCTACAACAAGGGAAGACAAACCAGTCTGCTTTGGAACCACGGAGTGACCAGACCTCCCTGGGCTCTGCCCTGGGCTCTGCTCAGGCAACCAAGGGGCTTTGGGCCTCTTAGATGGCCTCAAACCTCAGCTCCACGTTTGAGAGGACTTCCACAACCCTTCAATAGCCTCCAGCTTCAACCTGAAGAAGTTGCTGAGTTTTGGCACCCAGACTGTGGATCGTGGGAGGACTTGGTTCAGCCACATAATGCAGCCGCATGGTCCAGGCCCTGGGGACAAGAAGCCTCCATCCAACACCATCAAGACCCAAGGACTGCTATTCACCAAAGGCTATTCTGGTTGTATGATCTGCGCTCTTGCTACACACAGCTGTTGGCTTTATTAAAACCTATACTTCAAAGAATACTTCTCCTACCAAGGCTGAACACATGCAGCCTGTACCAATCCATTCATAGACAAAGGGCTTGCTTAGCTCACTTTAGCCTAGCATTTTAACATTGTATCTTGAAATCAACGTTTCCTTCATGTTATTATTGACAATTTGCATAATTCATATCTAGTCTGTATTGTGTATACTTCATTAAATCTACAAAACCATCTTTGTCTGAAAGTGATATTTGTACTTTTAACTCCAGAAATTGGGTCACTGATTTGTAAAAGAATTCACTACCTTCAGATTCTATTGAAGAGAATTGGACTAATTAGCTAATTAAATAATGAAAGGACTCATGAGATTACTTAATCAATAAATGAGCCAATTAATTGATATGGTGACGTCATATGCACGTTATCAGTTGGGATTTATTCCCTGGTGCCCCTAAATAAATCTATTATCAATTATTGTATTTATTACATGGTTGTTTTTATCCAATTCTCCGATATCAGGTACATAACTTAAGTTATGTGTGATATCGACATTTTCTCACCCTACACTTATATTATAACTGATCTGTGGACCAACTTACAAAAAGATAGACAATCAATCAAACAAAACATGTACACTGCAAAACAAGATCAAATATTAGTTTATAAATCAAGTGTTTTTATCATAATCTGAGCACATTCTGACATCACACTCTTAAAACAAGATTTGCCAATGGGACAAAGCCATTTAGTCTTTTTTCAAGAACTGTTGCTTTATTTTTTCATTCCAAGGGAGACATTTCTTGTATCTTTTTAATTGTGCTTGTGTCATTGGCAAATCTTGTCAGTCAAAATGACCTTGAATCAATATTGCCAAAGATTTGCCAAAGTTGAGCAATTTTTCCCTTTTTGCAGTGTACATCTTATATGGGGCCCCCTATAGCTCCTCGGGGCTCTGGCCATTGCCCTGCGTTCCTGTGGAGCCGGCCCTGCTGTGAAGTGCTGCTGCAGGACTTCAAGCAGAGCTGTTTGTCATTCTTAAGTGTACAGTATATTTTCTTTGTACAGTGTGAGCTCTTTCTCTATACGATTGAACCCTCTGCTTTCAATCACTGGAAATGACCCACTGCCTAAAAGCAACTGGTGTCGCTCCAATTTACTGCCCCTGCTCCAAACGGGGCAGGCCCAGGCCCAGCTGTTTGTCTCCTCTGTTAACGGCCGTTTGAAAGCCTGGTTTATACAGAGGTGTCAGCCGTATACGAGGAGGCTTCGTCCTGGGCTGCTTCAGCTCGTGGTTTTATCCATCTGTGTTTCCCAACGCAGAGACATACTTTGGCTTACCGTTTCTCTTCATGTTCAAAACAAATAACTGGAATACACTTTTTCCTCGCATAATTTGTATTATCGTTAATTGGAGCCCGTTTTTGGCCTGAATGAACGCATTAATTCCCTAAGATTTATGTATTTATTTTATTTATGATGAGTTCAATAATAATGCACAGGAGGTAATGGCGTCGTTCCCAGAGGTCTCCCATCACAGTACTAGCTAGACCCTACTCTACTTAGGTTCAGAGATCTGATGGGTGGGTGCCACACATTTATAATAGATAAAGTGTTAGATAGATAGATACTTTATTGATCCCCGTAGGAGAAATTCAGGTGTCCAGTAGCAGCAATAATAGAAAATAAAATTGATCATTCTAAAAGTTAAAAATAGTAATAATCAGCAACAGCCCTTCAGGTCACAGCAGCAGAGATGGAGTAGCCTCTGGGTGGAGCAGGACGGGTCATAGTAGCAGAGGTGGAGTAGCCTCTGGGTGGAGCAGGACGGAGTCCTACAAAAAGGCTCTAAGACCAGAGAAGTAAATTAAGAACAGATTAAAAATACTACAAGCGAGGGAGGGTAAAACACACCTGTCACCAGCCAGCAGCAGTCGAGACTGAGCACCAGGCGCGGGGGAATATTTAAAGGGGAGGCCACTTCCTCTATTAGGCAGGAAGCGGCAACTCCTCATTTAGGAAAGGGAGCCCCCTACTGCCCGCTACACATATATTTCCTGTTGGCCGAGACTTATCAACTTTGCTTTGCTTATTTAACGTGTGTAACCACAGAATCATAGGAAATGGCATGTCTCAATACTCATTTCATTATTGAGACATACCATTTTGCAAAACAGGAGCTATTTGTTTACAAAATTTGTCTTTTGCTTTTTGTCTAGTATTTGATTCCATTTATTTTTGCAAAGCCCTAAATCACAACAGTCCTTGTCTTGGAAGTCTTTACAGAGTTGTCAATTCTCTAATGTGCAATGTCCATAAATGTCCCGGATCATCACTGTTAGACCCTCAAGCTTTGGCATGACTCACCGGACGAGGCCAGGTTCAGGGGTCCCATCATCACGCTGTGAAAAAGACAATGGGACAGCAGGTGAATAGCAATGAAATCTTCCCAGATCCAGAACATTTCTGTTGACAAATAGCAATCATTATTATTAGTGTATTCACAGATATTTCCATCCATCCATCCATTTTCTACCCTTTAATCCATTTCAGGGTCGGGGTGGCCAAAGATGCCACCCAGTACACATACAGTAGCAACAGCTCCTCACTGATCCTCCTGCAGGTGGTGAGTCCACAGGAGGATGGCCGCTCTATGGCTTAGCCTTGATCTTTCAGGCAAAGTGGGGTTAAGTGTCTTGCCCAAGGACACAACAACAGCAGTTATCAGTGGGAGTCGGTGGAGAAGGTCTCATGGTGGGCTTGAACCCACGTCCTTCAGGCTCAAAGGCCAATGCTCTACCAACTGAGCTACTGTCGCCCACAGATATTTCCAATTCTCCAGTTTTTCCTCATACGCCTCTGTGAGGGGTAAGGTAATCACCAGAGTTTTTGCAACATTAGCAGAAAACCTCAGAAATGGGACAAGAACAAAGAAGTTGACAGCTTGTAGGTGATCAGGATAACTGTCTGGATCCAGGCAGAACTTTTTTAAGGAATGGAACTTTTTTTTGCACTGATAAAGATGACTTAGCGGGGTAGAGGGCAGTTATTATGTATTCATGCCACCTCTATAAACTTTCCATACTGTTGCTTTTTTAAAACAAGTTCATTTAAAATGGGAACGATATTCCTCACTCAGCAGCACATTCAGGCTTACTAATGCTTCTCTGCAATTAGTTTCAAAGCACTTTCTAAAAGGTTCAAAAGTAACCCTAACCCTAACCCTCACATTCTAAAACACAAGTAAATAGTCTCATTATCATGTTTTAACCCTTTAAGAACCAAAGCAGCAGAATTGCTACACAAGCTACAGTAAATCCAGGACACTTATTAGCTTCTCACAAACATCTCCCTATATTTTTCTTACGTAATTTCTTCTATATATTTCCATTGATGGTTTAAACTAGTCCAATATCTATTGTAAAGTTACAGGGTGTCACCTTGTGTTTGAGAATCAATTTCTCAGAAAGAAAATACAACAACGCTGGTGCCTCAAGGATTGATAGTCAAAAATAATGAACCAAATTTCTATGATTAAATTTTCAGATTTCTTGAAGTTCTGATCTGCCCAAGAAGCCATAGTTTTGAGGAGCAACATAACATACAAGCATATTCACATCGACCGCTTCATTGACTCCGGGTTAAAGGGTTTTGCAGTTTAAGACTAAAGCAAACATCCATCAGGTATGCCACATTTCCAATAGCTTGCATTTAGTCAAATCCATACATGTGCAGTGTACTTGTACTTGTACTTCCACTGCTTTGATCAATCGGCAGAGATAATCCAGCCCGCTCAACCATCATATGAACATGACAGTTACACTCACATAATTTCAATGATCTGCTCCACTTTTCTTAACCTTTAATAGCCTCACGCGTGTCCGTACGCCATGATTGCCAGCTCCGGACTCTCTTCATTAGGGTGGCCGACCCCTGGTCCCTCAGGGGCTCAGGAGGAGGAAGCGCTTTACATCTCCGAGCTGTGTCAGCACAGTGGGGCCAGATACGTCTCCAAATGGAGTATTGATCAAACCATGAGGCAGAGTAGACCCAGGGATCGGTGAGTCCACGGTGGAGCTGGAGGATGGCTCCAAGTGGGTTTTTAAAGCACAGCGTTAGAGTAGATCAGGCAAATCCAGAACTGTGGATAAAAAAATCTGGTTCACAAACACCATCTAATGTAACGGACCTTAAGCTTGGCAAAAATTTACGGGAAAAGGTGTATGACCTCAAAAGACCTGAATCTGCAATTGGAAAAGACGGTTTCCTGAATGTTGACTCTGGGGGCTGAAATCTTTTTCACATTTTTATTGGGAAAAATTTATAAATAAAAGACCAGTCAATTCACAAATACCTTCTACTATGTGTCGGTCTTCATGTTTAATGTTGTAATGAGAGAAATGTGGAAATTTCATGGGTTATGAGAACTTTAACAAAGCCCAGTATCATCCAAATGTGTTGTTTTCTTGTTTTTAAGTTGCATTATGCAAAAACAAACAAAATAGTCAACACTTTTGTGTGTTTGACCTTGTGTAAGAGTGGTCAGCGTGGGTTGTTTCCAGTGCTCCAGGATCAAATGTTGTGAAGGGTTTCTGAGATCCGCCAGCAGAGAAAACCTTAACTGATCCCACCACATCCGAGAGACCACTGATGGAAAGGAGAGGCCCCATGCTGACCTCTCAGATGGTCAGCAAGTCACCAAGCTCAAATATGCAACAATATTTGACCTTTCTTCACATATAACGTTTGTTCAATGCCTCTTTAAAGTGTCTTTGTTTACCTTATTTGACCTAGGTGCGGCTTTTAGTAACTGCACCTATAGAGCCTTCCTGCCACTACAGAAAAAAAACAAAACGAGGTTGAAATTCCAAGAATACTGAATCAAACCATCACTACTTTTTCTCGACCCCAACCCTTTCTGTTTCGTCTCTGTTAAAATCCAAACAAATACACCATCTACTGTAACTCTCTTCCCGAACTTCGCAGGACTGTACCTGCCTGTGGTCCTAAGTGATCCCCAGTGTGTGGAGATGCGCTGCTTTGTGGAGCATGAGAAAACGCCTCTGAGCAGATGAGCACAAGGCCTGAGGGGACGCCAGCGTTCTCCAATTACGGTCAGGGATGGATGAACACAGACACACCGCTTTTATTTATTTGAAGTCACATCTTTGCTTTTCCCAGCGCTTTACCTGCTCCAGACATTAAGCCCCTGATGACTCTAAACCAGCCGGCTGTTTTTAATTGAAGTGAAGCCTTTTGCACAGTCCTAATCGCTTAGACTGGTTTTGGATGTGAAGAAAAGTGTGAAGTAACTCAATACAAATACAAAGTGTGCAGTCTTGGATTGTATTGACTGATTATTTAATTTAACCCTTTAATGTTCACTCAAAGACAACAATGTAAATTTATCTTTTTGGATTTTCTAAGGTGTAGGAGCACTATTAACAAAAATATATTTTTTAGTTATAGTCCTTTATAAAATGGTTGAGATGCAGTTTGATGTAAAAGTCAATAGTGACTCAAAAAGTAACCCACGAATGGTCAAAGAAAGCGTTAAAGGGTTAATAAAATGTATTCTTGTAATGCCCTGAATCACAACAGAAATTTTCTCTGAGGTTGTCAATTCAATCTGAAGAGACCAAGACAGAAACATTAATGCATAAAAAGATTCGTTTGATTGGCGCATTGGCCCCGGCAGTGACACTTGCAGAGGGGAGATTGTCTGCTGCTGTAGATGATCTCAGATCCCCCGGGGTCAAGCACTAATGGTGGCTAGAAGCATGGTGTGAATGGGGCGTAAGGCGGAGCAGGAGCCAGAGCAGGAGCCAGAGCAGGAGCCAGGACAGGAACCAGACGGAAACCCGCGGAAACCCGAGTAGGAACCAGGAGCTGAGGAGGCATGGGGAGGTGGTGGATGTTAAGAGCTTCAGGAAGGGCCGTTTTGTCACGCCCCCATCTGTCACTAGTCTTCACAGCCTCTTGCTCCTCCCTGTGTGTGTGTGTGTGTGTGCGTGTGGACCTGGGTGGAGTCTGGAGCTGCTCACCTGCTCTCACTTCAACAATCAAGCAGCCTACATCCAGCCAGCTCTCCAGACAGACTCTGCCAGATTGTTTCGTCTCTATCACGGTGATTTTTCAGTCGGCTATTTTTGATATACTGCTGATACTTACCCCTTTTTTGCATACTCACCTTTTTGTCTCCTGTGTTCCTAGCTCCTGGGCTAGGACTAGTGGCAGCCCTTCCTTATCACCTCCGGAACAACGCAATAAACATTTCACTTTTGTATTTCTGTTTTAGTCTGTTTATTGGGTCCTATCGCCAAGCCTTAACAGAACAATCTGGCCAACATGGACCCAACAGACCCAAACGATTTGTTCGAAGTGGACACTGCATTGCAACCGGAACCCAACCCTTTATTCCAAGCTGTTTCCAGCCAAGGCCAACTACTTGGGAAGCACGAGACCCAGCTGAAAGAGATTTCTCACAATCAACAAACTTTTGCTGCCCAGATGACTCAAATTGGAATCATGCTTTCAAACCTAACCACTGCTTTTTCCCAGTTTTCTGCTGCTGCCTCTGCTGCTCCACCATTGCTGTCTCCGGGTGCCCAGTCTCAAGTCGCTCCACCACCTACTGCTCTTCATCCAGCTCAACGTGAACCTCACATACCCACTCCGGAGCGATATGCGGGGGATCTTGGTGCCTGTGGTCGGTTCCTCCTCCAGTGTTCTCTGGTTTTCGATCAGCAGCCCCAAACTTACGCATCAGAGAAGTCTCGCATTGCCTTTGTTATAAGTTTATTAACTGGAAAAGCATCTCAGTGGGTTACAGCAGCATGGGAGAGCAACTCAGACATTTTTCGCTCCTATTTAGTTTTTTCTAATGAAATGCGTAAGCTATTTGACCACCCAGTGAAGGGCAAAGAAGCAGCTAAGAGAATGCTAGCTCTTAACCAGGGAACCTCCTCCGTTGCCCAATATGCCATAGACTTCCGTATCCTTGCTAATGAGAGTGGTTGGGATGACACCGCCCTACAAAGTGCATTTTTCAGAGGGTTGGCAGACAGCGTGAAGGATGAGCTTGCTGCCAGAGATGAAACTAACAGCCTTGATGAACTAATCTCTTTGGCCACACGTCTAGATAATAGACTCAGAGAAAGACACAGGGAGAGAAAGCCACGCCCGCCATCATCTGGTGGTTTTTATGCGCCAGCATCATCTCCTACCCCCTCCCCTGCAACTTGTTTTTCTTCTATGCCTTCTCGAAACTCTAGATCCTCTGATGCTGAGGAGCCTATGCAGCTAGGCCGAACCCGGCTGTCTCAAGCAGAACGCCACCGCCGTCAAATGTCTGGTCTCTGCCTCTACTGTGGACAAGAGGGGCATAACGTCACTTCATGCCCACGACTGCCAAAAGAGTAGGCTCACCTGTGACTGGAGAGATCCTAGTGAGCCAAACTGTCTCTCCGCAGCCGTCTTCTGACCGGCTTCTTCTCCAGGCCTCCATGTTTTGGTCCCGTGAGTCTCTTTCACTCCACTGTTTTGTCGATTCAGGCGCAGACGATAATTTTATTGACTCTACGATTGTACTGGAAGCCAACATACCAACTGAGCCACTTGAGTGCCCCAGGGAGGTTAATGCATTAAATGGAAGTCACCTAGCCAAGATTACTCACATTACTGTACCAGTCATCCTCATTCTCTCGGGTAATCACCGGGAAGAGATCCGTTTGTTGGTTATTTCTTCTCCTTTAGCTCTTGTAGTTTTGGGACTTCCGTGGCTAAAACTTCACAATCCCCAAATAGACTGGCCGTCCAGTTGGAGTGTTCACTGTCACTCTAATTGTCTTAAGTCGGCCATACCTGTTTGCGAGGGCTTAAAGGGCACTCCTCCTAGCCTTACTGACCTGACCGCTGTTCCCTCCGTGTACCATGATTTGTCACAAGTATTCAGTAAAGAAAGGGCACTGTCTCTCCCTCCCCACCGCCCTTATGATTGTGCTATTGATTTACTTCCGGGTGCCCCTTTGCCTACTAGCCGCTTGTACAAACTTTCTCGTCCTGAGAGGGAGACTATGGAACAGTATATTAAAGACTCTCTGACTTCCGGGTTGATCCGTCCCTCCTCTTCCCCTGTTGGCGCTGGTTTTTTCTTTGTGGAAAAGAAAGATAAGACGTTAAGGCCCTGCATTGACTATAGAGGGTTAAATGATATCACCATAAAGAATAAATATCCTCTGCCACTTATTGATTCTGCTTTCGAGCCTCTACATCAAGCCACCGTTTTCACAAAGTTAGACCTCCGTAATGCTTACCATTTAGTTCGCGTCCGCCAAGGAGACGAGTGGAAGACGGCATTTAACACACCCTTGGGGCATTTTGAGTATCTGGTGATGCCGTTCGGTCTAACTAATGCTCCAGCGGTTTTCCAAGCACTGGTGAATGATGTGCTCCGGGACATGCTCAATCGATTTGTATTCGTTTACCTGGACGATATATTGATATTTTCCAGGAATGCTGAGGAACATGTAGAACATGTCAGGTTGGTCCTTCAAAGACTGCTTGAAAACAAACTATTTGTGAAGGCGGAGAAATGTGAATTCCACGCTGCCTCAGTAAACTTTCTTGGGTTTGTCATTGAGCAGGGACACCTAAAACCGGATCCGGCTAAAGTAAGAGCTGTGGCTGAGTGGCCTAGACCTGAGACACGAAAGCAACTCGTGCGTTTTTTGGGATTTGCCAATTTCTACAGGAGATTCATCAAGGATTACAGTAGAAAAGCAGCCCCACTAACTCTGTTGACCTCCACATTGTTGCCCTTCCAGTGGTCTGGTGATGCTGACGCCTCCTTCTCCAAACTAAAAGAACTTTTTGTTACAGCCCCAGTCCTATCTCACCCAGATCCTTCCAGACAGTTCATTGTTGAAGTCGATGCCTCTGATTCCGGAGTGGGTGCTGTCCTTTCCCAGCGTTGTCCCAAAGATGAAAAGGTACATCCCTGTGCTTATTTCTCACGCAGGTTGACATCCGCTGAGGCCAATTATGATGTTGGTAACCGGGAACTACTCGCTGTTGTCTTGGCCCTGCAAGAATGGCGCCACTGGTTGGAAGGAGCTGAGCAGCCGTTCATCGTGTGGACTGACCACAAGAATCTTTCCTACCTCCATTCGGCCAAGAGATTGAACTCCCGCCAGGCAAGATGGGCGCTGTTTTTGGGGAGGTTTAATTTTGTTTTGACCTTTCGTCCAGGGTCCCGTAATATAAAACCTGATGCTCTGTCCCGTCAGTCCATTCAGGGGGAGCTGGATTCTCAACCGGGTCCCGTCCTTCCTCCCTCTTGTCTCAATATTAGTGCTGACAATGAAGCTAAGTCCTGTGCTTCGGCCTTGCTCCTTGGTGCTGTGGGGTGGGAAATTGAGAGGGTAGTGAAGGAGGCCCAGCGCACCAGTCCTGACCCTGGTAGTGGCCCTCCCAATCGTTTATTTGTACCAGATTCTGTTCGCTCCCAGGTGCTCCAGTGGGGGCACTCATCTAAATTGACCTGTCATCCTGGGAGTCATCGGACGCTGGCATTCCTCAGACAGAGATTTTGGTGGCCCTCTATGTCTCGTGACACACGTGCATTTGTTTCTGCTTGTACCGTTTGTAGCCGCAGCAAGTCCAGTCATCGGCCCTCTGCCGGTCTCCTCCGTCCACTACCTATCCCCAGCCGGCCTTGGTCACATATTGCGGTGGATTTTGTCACTGGCCTCCCCACATCAGACGGTAATACCACTATTCTGACTATTGTGGATTGTTTTTCTAAGGCTGTGCATTTTCTTCCCCTACCCAAATTACCTTTGTCATTGGAAACTGCTAAGATACTGGTGCAGCATGTTTTTCGTCTTCATGGTATCCCCATGGACATAGTCTCTGACCGGGGACCTCAGTTTTCCTCCCAGGTCTGGAAGGCTTTTTGTCAATCCCTCGGGGCTTCTGTCAGCCTTTCCTCTGGTTATCACCCTCAATCCAACGGGCAGACGGAAAGGGCTAACCAGGACCTGGAATCTGCGTTGCGATGTGTGACTGCCCGAAATCCAACTACTTGGAGCTCGTTTTTGCCCTGGGTGGAGTACGCCCATAACTCCTTGGTGATGTCTGCCACGGGTATGTCCCCTTTTATGGTCTCCTTGGGTTTTCAGCCCCCTCTTTTTCCTGACCAGGAGACTGAAGTTGCCGTGCCCTCGGTTCAGTTCCATCTGCGTCGCTGCCGCAGGATCTGGAGGGTGACCAGGGCGGCTCTCCGACGCACAGGTATCCGTAATCAGGAGATTGCCAACCGCCACCGTGTGGCTTCGCCTTCTTACCAGCCGGGACAGAAAGTGTGGCTCTCCTCTAAGGATCTACCCCTTCAGGTCGAGTCCCGCAAGTTGGCACCTAAGTTTGTAGGCCCCTTCACCATTGATAAGATTATCAATCCCTCAGTTGTGCGTCTGACCTTGCCGAAGTCTATGAACATTCACCCCTCTTTCCATGTATCCCTGTTGAGGCCCGTAGTTTCTAGTCCTCTCTGCCCTCCGGCCGATCCCCCTCCTCCCGCCCGTGTCATTGACGACCACCCCGCCTTCACTGTCCGGCGTGTCCTTGATGTCCGGCGTCGTGGGAGGGGCCACCAGTATCTTGTGGACTGGGAGGGGTATGGTCCAGAGGAGAGGTCCTGGGTGCCTCGGCATTTCATCCTGGATGCGGCTCTCCTCCGGGATTTTTATTCGGTCGTTCCCTGACAAGCCTGGCCGGACGTCGGGTGACGTCTCCTAGGGGGGGGGGTACTGTCACGCCCCCATCTGTCACTAGTCTTCACAGCCTCTTGCTCCTCCCTGTGTGTGTGTGTGTGTGTGTGCGTGTGGACCTGGGTGGAGTCTGGAGCTGCTCACCTGCTCTCACTTCAACAATCAAGCAGCCTACATCCAGCCAGCTCTCCAGACAGACTCTGCCAGATTGTTTCGTCTCTATCACGGTGATTTTTCAGTCGGCTATTTTTGATATACTGCTGATACTTACCCCTTTTTTGCATACTCACCTTTTTGTCTCCTGTGTTCCTAGCTCCTGGGCTAGGACTAGTGGCAGCCCTTCCTTATCACCTCCGGAACAACGCAATAAACATTTCACTTTTGTATTTCTGTTTTAGAGATCTATCAGATTGTTGTGGTGAAGGGGTAGAAGCATCTACAGTCAGAGCTCTGGATTTACTGCTCGGTGAATGTTCATACCATAAGCTTTGGGAAATGGCCCAAAGGACAAGGTAACAGATACAAGGCTCTAAGTGAGTTTCCTTCTGACTAGAGCCGGTCTTAATCCACTCCCTCACTGTCTTCAACATCCAGGACAAGTTCTTTCTGAGCACAATGGAACTTTTGGAAATAAGAGAGAAGTAATGGACCAACTGAGATACAAGACTTGTTACAGAAAGGTACTTTAATCTCTGACATAATGTAATACTTAAGACGGGTTCATTGTGCAGAACTCTGCACATACAGTACACTACTGTGGACAGGAACAAAAAGACTTTCCATCATCAACATTGACAAGTGTGAGACGTGGAAGTTTAGTGTCTATGACCAGTCTCTGAACAACTGTCCAATGTCAAAAACCTTTGCTCCAACATCCACAGATCTGCTTTGTTCAGTAAGTGTTGGATGTGGGCAGTGTCAGTTATAACTTCTGTTCTTATAAATGTGTGATACTAATGCCTAATAATCTTCCTTTCCAGACCGACACAAGAGCACTCTCCCCTCCCTCAGGGCTCTCTCCCCTCCCTCAGGGCTCTCTCCCCTTTCTGGGTCAGGGGGATGGCAGTAATCAGAGCTACCCTCCAATGCTCATAGCACCAGCCCCTCGCTCCTGTAGGTGATGGATCCACAGGAAGATGGCTGCTCCGTCAATGAAGTGACGGCTTCAGTAGGGGCTTCAGGCAAAGTGGGATTAAGTGTCTCGCCCAGGCACACAAAGACAGCAGACATCAGTGGGAGCAGGTCACATGGGTCATTCGAAGATCGAACACACCACAACTATCATTTAACAAATGTATTTTCTTATTTATTACAACAACATGATGTTCAGAAGTGTTTGTCTCTTTATACAACACTAACAACTCAATAAGAACACAGTTACACAACTTTCCTTTTCACAAGTTATCACAATCAAGCTGTACATGAACACAGTGCTTCAGGTAGTACTACTCCAAATAATGAGAAGATCAGAGTTTAGCTCCTGGAAATATAGGAAATAGCGCTAATTTTCATACTGTGCCTCTTCTAATTCTTTAACATTAACAGAGAAAGTATACACTTGTAAACAGACACAGGAAAACCAAGAATCAAGTATCTGTGGAAAGTTTTATAATTCATCTATCGATCTATCTATTATCCATCTACTTTTTACATTCATAAAGGGGTTTTGACCAAATAATTTATTTTATTGAATATATGAACAAAATGAGTCCAGCTGCTGTCATTGAAACAATACAAAACAATTAGGCTCTGTATTGTAGACTGAATTAGTTTACTTTGAGTCAATGCTCATTTCATTCAGGCTTCAAAGTTTAAGGTAAAATAAATTCTGTGGTTATTTTCTTGATCAAATGAGCTCAGCTGTTCTGAGTAGTGTAGTTTATGAGGATTGTTGTACATTACAGAACAGGATATACAACATAAATCTTCATAAAGAATGAAATTGGATGGATGGATCAAAAGTCTTCATTCTGGATAAAACCCCAACAACTGAATCTGGGGCCGTAGTCCTAAAGATTCTGAGAGTCCTCTCAGAGAGCTCGTATCTTAACCTAAAAACTCCTAGCTAGGAGTCTTAGCTTAAAAGTTATTCCAGAACACTCTTAGAGAACTCTGAGCAAGGAATTGACAACAACTTTTATCTTAGTGAGGAGGCGTGGCTGACCCAGTTGCTAGGTATGAGTCATCATTTCAGACGCTGTGATTGGTTGATCCTAAAAGTTAGAAAAAACATATTTTTGATGATAATAGGCAAAATAAGGGCCCTAAAATGGACAAAATCAATCATGGAATCTAATCTTAGGAACACTGTGTTATTGTAAATAATAACCAAAAGCTATAAAGTCAGATATATCAATGGTACATAAATGCTGTGAATAGTAAGTTAGACTTATACACCATCATCAGAGCTTGCTCAGCACCAATTTATCACACATAGTACGTATATATCATGAGCACTTATAAATGTATTTATATATATATATATATATATATACTTTAATATATATATGTATATATACATATAATTTAAATATTACTCTATATATAATATACATGATAAAGAAAATTATTTTTATAAATATTATATGGATAAATTATGATAATGATAACGTTAGGATTAGTAAAGGCTGTGATACTGACAGACGTATAAGGCATTAAGGAAACAATATTAATATAAACATATACATACACTGTACAAATCAAGTACAAGGGAGTTTAAAAGTCTTAACCTCTCTCACTCCTTTTTAAGCTGGATTGTTGTTAATAAAATTGAGCACAGCCCCAGTCTGTCAGCGTCGTCCACATGCATCACAGTGGAAAGGAAACATATATACATAAATAATGCAAATAAGAATAAAGCTAATCCAGACTTATTATATTTAATATGATACGTTCTTGTTAAAAACGTATTTCCCGCGTAGAGTCGTCAATCTCACTGATGTAGCTTCTTAAACAGCGACATCTGGTGGTGACAGAATTTATTTGACAGATATTTAATTAATTGAATTATTGCCCCCAACGCCATACAATATTGTCACTATTCTTTTTTTCAAGGTATTTTTGACACCGAGAATTTTCATTTAGGTTTTAAACATTGATACAATTATATTGCGTTTTGTCGAGTGAAAAAGTAGCAGAAACAGAAAGTCATTGCACTTGGACACATGCATTGACTTGTACAGTGGTAAACGAATTATCTTTTTTTACCATGTGCCACTCTTATAACTGAGCATGTTCTGTAATAATGAGCAAGACTGTATAATGAAAGTATATGCTAAAGACTAGCTAATTATGCTAATGATTAAACTGCAGTGTAATTATGCTAGCTTCCTCTGTAGTTAGCTAACAGTGTTTATAATTATTTTGAAAACGATACTTAACACTGACTAAACTAATCACTGTGAGAGCGTTTCCATTCAGCTAGAGCTAGTTTTGATTAACTTTTCCTAAAATGAATAATTTCGAGAACCATCAAGAGTTTCCTTAGTTACAGAAAGTTGTGTTTATTTTTTCAAAGGAGATTTCCTCGTTTCATATCCTGACGGGAACATTGACTTTAAACTGGACACTTTATTTAACTTCCAGTAAAGATGCCGCTACCTTCTGCACGCCGTAAGCTTTCTAAAGCAAAGACAACTCAGACTCGTGCTGAAATTAGCAACTTAAAAAGGGAAAATGCCTTTTTGTTGAGGTGCTTCAATGAACTGAGCAATCATCACAACGACCACAACAGGATAATAGAGGTGAGACATGAGTAACTATTACCCCTTAGTTAGAAATCAGTCCATTAAACATTCATTATAATAAGGATTTAACATTTGACCATGATGCAACCTAAGAGATTGAAAATGTGGTGCGTTACTTCAACCCATGACAATAGAAATCAAATCAAAACTAGAAATTAGTTCCTGGCTCTAAAACCGTTACCATATTTTTTAGACAGAAAAGTATACTCAGCCAGTTAGTTAGCTCTTAGCCCACGGTTATGTTCTTTTTTTTTCTCTTAAAAAAAAAGTTTGTATAATGCCAGAAAACCTTATGTTCGTTATTAGGCTGAAAGGTCCGTCTTTCCATGTCTCTAAAGTTTCCTCTTTCTCTCTTTACTTAAAAAATGGAAATATGTTGTTTCCTGTGTCATTGTCATTGCAGAACCATCACATTATATAATATATGTTTCTGCAGAAATTCCTCACCCTGGTGACTCTTCAATCCTCATCTAAAGAGGATGAAGCAGAGGACACACATTCATACTCTTGGGATGACTCCTGCGATCCAGAGCTGATGCAGGAAAAACAGAGCAGCCACGAGGAAAACCAGACCAATGCTGTTAATATGAGACGACTGTTAAGTTATGCTAATAATGTAGAAGAACTCAAGAATTCGCTTGTGAGCCTCTCTGCCAAGTGTCAGTACCTGAAAACCAACTCTGCGCACAATCAGGTGAAGTGTAAAGCTGATTTCAAACACTCTTTTGAGAGCTAGGAACTTCCTAGCTCTCAAAAGAGTGTTTTTCTATCACTAGTTTTACATGCAAGCATTTTTTTACCTCAGTCACATCTTTAGATCAGCTAAAGAAAAAGAGAGAAATTGTTTTAAAAACATGTTATAAGTTAAACACAGCTGTGGTGGTCTGATATGTCAACAAATGATGGGGTAACTAATATGTGTTATTTATGAAACAATTATTGACAGTGAGCTTTTGGGTAAACAACAACAACAACAAAATACAAGTTCAGTACCACACCTTTTACTGGACTATAGAAGATAAATAAGTCACACCTTGTCATGTACCACTTTTTCTCTTTACTACACCACTAGATGGCAGGAGTTAGTAGCTATAGATAAGTCATTCAAACATAATAAACACCATGAATTCATAATATCTCTTTTAAAGCTGTAATGACAAAAAGTACATAGCTTACTGTCTATTTTGTTCAGTTATAATGTTGTCTCATTCTAGTCTACTTGAATACTTAAACTATTTGTTCTTATGTTGTACAGGAGTGTGCTGCCGGCTTGCAGGGCGACAAAGCCATAACAGAGCTACAAATCAACCTCAACAAGGTAAAACCAAAAAATCATTGGTTTTACTGTTTTATATTGATTGATCATTACATGTTCTGGTGTCTTGTGTCCATGTAAACCGCGTTCTCTTCTGGACCTGCGAAGTCCATAGAGCAAAACAAGCAGTGGGTGGAGCACGACCAGCAGCGGGAGGCCGATGTGAAGGCCATGCTCACCCGGATGACGTGGCTGGAGAAACACCTGCAGGACATCAGCAAAGCCCGCGTCGCTGAGCGTAACGAATACATATCAGACGGTGAGAGGCCTGCACCACAAATAGAACAGACATGTGTCAAGAGACAGATACAGTTCATAATGACATGTGTTCAAAATCAGATTGTTATTCATTATTAGGTATGAGTGATTAGTCAGATAAATTGTATAATTTTACAATTCTTTCTCTTTCTTTTCTTGTCTCAGTAGTAGTAGTAGTAGTAGTACTAGTAGGGGTAGTGCATGTGGAAGCCAGATATGAGGGTAAGCCTGGTTAACCATTAGAAGCATGGCTAACCATGATTCATGATTTTTTTATTTTATGTGTCATTGTCACAGTAGTAACTCAGTAACTTACTTAAGTAACTTAAGCCCATTTTCAAAATGAGGAGTGGAAGTAAAATGTTTGATAATAAGTGGTAAAGATCTGATAAATAATAAAGTACTGATACCACAAAACTGAAAAACACTGCTCTTTACTTATTTATCTATTTCGACTCATAATTTGATTAAAACTGGATCAAATTAGCAAATTCTTTATTTCACTTGTACCATTGCAGAAAAGAAGAAACTCAAACAAATGGAGAAGTATTATGACGGACTTGTACATGAAGGCAGCAAGGAGCTGCACATCCTCCGAGAGCAGGTCTTTCTCACCCAGCAAGCTCTGACAGACGCCCACAGACAGTAAGTGCGGTTCATCTGGGAATCAGAGGGTATTCCTGTGGGTTTATAAATGTATTTGTAATTTGGACACTAAAGGCGCTCACAAACCCTGGACCATCAAGCTTCCCGTATCCAAACAACGACATTGTTCCCTAGAATCCCTGTTGTGACCCAACTATGTGACTAATGATTTTTGGGAGAATGAATCATTCTTCCCAATGCTTAGGTTGAGAGAAAAGCAGCAGGAATTGGAAGAAGCCAGGCAGCAGATGCAGAGCGCAAGGGAATCACAGGGGCCTCCAGACGTGACGGAGGCCGAGGACTGTCTGACCGTCCAGGCCGAAGATCTCCAAGTGCAGCTGACCAAGGAGAAGCGCAAGTCGACCACCCTCGAGCTGCAGGTACACTGACAGACACAGCTGAAACTGGATCTACAGACGTGACTAACTCAAACTGACATCTTTGCAGTCAAGCCATCTGCAGAAGTCCTTTGTGAATCACTATCACAAAGCACAGAAGCAGCTGAGCGAGTATAAACAGAGGGTACTGATGTTTTTAATGTAACTCGGAGAGACTGTGGACAGTGTCACCCTCTTCCTGCTCCCATGTGTAACCTTGTGCTTCTCAGATTGAGTATTTGGTTCAGGATCTCCGTGACGAGAGAGAGAATTGTTCATATTTGAAGCAGCAGCTGGAAAGTGTCCAATCAGAAACAGAGAAAGGAGACACTGAGAAGGTTAGTGCGTGGATTTTTATGTTTTGTTTTGGTTCAAGAGTTGGATTCAACATTCAGCAATCACAGTATTTAAAGAAGAATTTGTTGGTTTGTGTCATTATGTATGCGGTTACAAAACATAATGAGACAATTAAATAAATGAGGGATTTACCTTTTCATCCGAGATTTAATCAAACTTTTCCCATCTTGAAGTGAAATAGGAAACATTAGAGTTATATAACTATCATCTTTTATGACACTGAAAATCTATTCATTTTATGTTTTGTCATCTTTATTTACACAAAGAGGGCCCAAAGAGTTGCAGATTTTTGTCCCCATACAACAATGATAAGCACACAAACATAAGCCCAATAACAATAGACACACTTATATTGTCTCAATAACAAATTATTAAGTAAGTAAGTAATGTTTATTTATATACCGCTGTAAATACCTCATGACTGCTGCTGACTACAGTGTGTACTCCACAAATGACTCATCCTTGAACCAAGAGTTTTATTTTATAATCTCATTAATATTATTTTATTATCTAATATCTTAAATAATAGAACTTGTTTGATGTGTGCAACCTGAGTGCACTGGTTCAATAATGCGCAACAATGACAATTTCCCCACAGTGGGACAAATAAAGGTTTATCTTACCTTTACTTCATTATAGTGTTATGTATGTTTGTTTGTTTACCTTGTAGGCTGACAATCCGGAGCACAAGCCCGCTCAGCCCTGTGACCTCCCACCTCGTCCTGCCCGTCACAGAAGTCCTTACGAAAGCCTTCTGGACAAGAGTCTGTTGGAGTGCCCAATGTGCCTTGCTGCTTACCCTGTGAGTCAGAACAAAGAGCTCCTGGAGCACCTGGACTACTGCCAGCACTGAGCTAAGAGCAACTGTGGATTTCAAACAATAAAACAATAGCTGTAATCTGTCTGCAAGTCACTTTTGAAAGATTGTAAAAGTTATGAGTTTTAACCACATTTCATTTGGATTGATTTGTGTACCTTTTATATTGTTAGTGTTCAGATAAAGTCAGTTTTCACCTTCCACTTATCTCCACCCCCTTTTCTGTTCCCACACTGCGTTCCAGTCGACAGTGAGGTGTGTTACACTTAACAAGAGCTTAAATGATCTCACAGTTGACAATCATTTCTGATAGTAAAAATAAATTAAAAACTCCAGTTCCTATTATATAGAGTTTTATACTCAACAATACATAACACAACATTTAAACTAAATATATGGTATGTTTGCTACAGTAAAATGCTGAGATGAAATGCAGAGTCAGCAGTGAGACATTTTCTTTTAATAATGTATGCATGTCAAATAGAAAAAGTTTTCCAAATAACTTCAAATAGAGAATATTGATAGGTGTTATACCCAGGTCTCATGCATATACTGTATAGTTCACAGGTTGTGTAAGTTAATCCTTCTCCGGTCCTATTTTAAAAGAGATTAGTATGAAGGGAGTGTGCAGAACGAGGGAGGGCCCACTCGTGGTCGGAGAGGGAACAGAACATGGTCTCCAGACTTGACCTGTGCTAATATAGTTTAGGGCAGACTCCTCCAGGAACGTTTCAACTGAATAATGTCTCAGGGGAAGTATGAACAGGAGCTTAGCTTGTCTGAGCCTCAAATAGACCTTTAGGGGGCGTTGTTGAAAGAAAAAAAGCCACATCCATTGTATTCTTATTTTCATTTTCAGATAATCTCCACAAAAATCCTTTGCCATATTTTTGCAATAAAGGGACCTTTAGTATGTGTTGTACAAAAGACCATAAACACAATTCATAAAACATAAACCAAAATACACAATTTGAAAAGGCCTATCACTCGCTTTCCTCCACACGCTTCTTTAGAAAGTTTTTTCCACAATTTTTAAGTAGAATCATATTTGAACATGTTTTAAATTCATCTGTTAAGTTGTTCTAAAGAGCAGCTCCTCGCACTGAGATTGTTTTTAAAGTAGTTAAAAATCTTGGGGCATAAGGGTTTTTTGCTTCCTCTGTGTAGTTATGATGAGCATCTTTATCATGGAATAAGATGTGTACATTAGGTGCAGGCAAGGCAAGTTTATTTGTATAGCACACATGTTCATACACAAACCAACTCAAAGTACTCAAAACACAAAAAGCTTTACAATCATACATACTCACAGTGCTCTGGGGCCTCTTATCCTTTTCTGATCTACACTGGGCCTCCAACCTTCTTTTTTAGCTGTCATGGACATTATTTCCTGCAGTGTAAGTCGTGATGGCGTCTGTATTGGACATCTGATACAAACTGAATGGCCTCTTTTTGCAGTGTGATTAAGGACTCCCACCCTAACCCTAATCCCACACTTAAAGCAGAAGTTGTAATACTCCAAAACTGAATTTCCATCTAATACACTTGTTTCTGTCAACTCAAGAGTCATTGAATTAATCACTGTAATGCGAGTCAAGTACCTGGAGGAAACACCAATAACTAAGTAAACAAAGTAATCTGATTTGTAGAAAAAGGGGAGAAACTAATTAGATCACTGCAGATAACTTGTGTTGGGATTCCGCTTGATTAACCGCCCTTGCCCACAGGGATTAGCCAGCCTTAAGTCACTCTGCGCGGGCGTGTGGTCAGAGGGGAGCAGCCTTTGATTGTTTACAGTTGGATAGTGATTGGGTTATCATTTAGTTGAGCCTGGCTGAGGAGTGGATGTAGAGGCCCAGTGGCTCTATGTCACTGAACCACTAGGTTGCAAATGGTTGATGGGATTTCAGATGAGTGTTTCCTGGTCCAAATTGAGTCCGAATCCAGCACTAGTGGCACTGAGACTGGACAGGTACATCTTGTCCACTACAGTAGTACTACATTAAGATCTTCTACTGAGTATTAGTATACATTTAAGAAAGAGGAGAGGGCACAGATTGGAGTAGTTGGCGGTGCTAATGATGTGATGGATACTTTTGAAATGTCAGTTTGTAGATACAACTTAGGACTTATGAATAAATCTATTTTTTTGGACATTGGAAAAAAACCTTGTGCAACCATCATGCCAATACACATAGAGACATAATGAGAAAGTGCATGGTAGCGGTATTACACAAGTTTGTATAGCCTCTTCTTTTTTTAAAAATCCGCCACATTCAAAATTATCTATTTTAACTCTCATTCCTTATGTTTTTTTACTGGTGTATAGTTTGACATTTGAATATTTATGTGAACTGTATATAATGTGTGGGACTTCATTCATGATAAGCCTAAGCCAGATACAGCATGATCATTAGGAAGGGCTTTAAACTGTATTTCTAGTACATTCTCTTGTACTCGTCAAGATTTCTTTCCCATCTAGTTTTGTCTGTGCACAGTTGAGTTGTACCAATGACCTTCACTGCAAGGAAAAACTCATAAGAAAACCCAGTGAGAAAAAGTGAGAAACCTCGGGGAGACCCATGGTTTGAGAAAGGGATCCGCTCCCACGGACGGACGGGCAATAGATCCAGGACCTAAGCTACAGAACATGGACCAGCGCCCGCTGAACGTGGACAGGTCCGGTACAGGAAGAACTCTCAGGGCGGGTCGGGCGGGGCAGTCCGCAGGTGTAGATGGAGGAAGCCAGGTCCAAAGATCCCGTCATCGTACCATGGAACAGACAATGGGACAACGGGTGAATAGCAATGAACAAACTACAGTCAAAATCCTAATAATGCAAAACAGATAATGTAGGAAGGAGGAGAAGATAGTGCTCAAGTTACCATACTTCTCCCAGCAAACTGACTCCCTATGCAGCTTGACTGACAGTCTGAGGAGTTTAGCCTTCCCTGAGTCTTACCTTCCCAGCCATATGCTAAACTAAACAGGACTGTTTTAGCCTAGCCTAGAACGTAGGGTTGAAGATGCAGCGGACCGGGTCCGACATACGCAGACTTCAAGACTGGATGAAACCAGCCAACAACCTAGCCAAATGCTAAGTTGAAAATGTGGGGGTATTACAGGGGGTCTTTGAAAGGATTTCCAAGTATTACTATTTGTATGCGTAGTATGATTACTAATACGTGAGCTCCTGAAACCAGTTGTTCCTTGCTGATGCAGGAGGGTCCAAGGACAGTGGTGATGATCCAAGACGTTTAAGGACATTGATCATCCACTTCCAATGGACCAATGGCTCCTATGTGTTTGTTTTTATTGCATTTGTTTGAGTTGTTTGATGCTCTGATCTGTGTTGGAAGATAGATAACTTTGTGAAGTCCTCCATGATGACTACTGTTGTGATTTAGGGCAAAATAATTTATTTTGGTGGAAAGTCAATTTTTTGTCAAAGTTTTAAATACTCATTATAGTTCAATGCCAATAAAGTCATTTCATGAATAAGAAACACGTGAAAATGTGGTCCCAACTGCATAATCTACACACAAAAAAAAAAAATCTTTCAAGTAGCTACATGGACTGAGAACTCAAAGCTAAAACACAGAGTTGTTTTGAACTGATCTCATAAGCTATGACAAACCCTGCCATTGTGTCTCAAGTCTCAAGAAATCCTCTCAAATGATCTTGTCACTGACCCTCAGAGAACCTCTTCATTGAATTATACTGTTGTGCTCCTCATCATCACATTTCATTTACCATATTTCATGAGAAGTTTTCTCGTTTTTCAATCACAGTAAACAATGATTGTCCGTGGACGTAGTACCTGCATTTTCTCATTACGTTTGTTAAGAAATGATCTGCCCTCCCACCAGCGCAGGTCACAGAGATGCCAAAACTGAGCATCATACTCACTGGTCAGATTAGCGTCTATGGATTTGCTGCACTGAAATGACAACTGCGTGGATTTACGGGTTAAGAAAGCTCAGGGGGCTTTGCGACTGTTGCGTCAAAGTCATTAGTGACCCCTGGGATCCCCTTAAGCTATACTCTCTACCTTCTGCTTGCGGAGGAGAGCGCTTCTTCTTCTTCTCCCCGGTAGCCAAATTGGGATCTCAGTTTTTGGACAGCCTTCTGGGGTACATTTTAACAAAGACAGTTTCAAGATGGGAGACAAAGACACCGTGGAGAAGTTCTTGGACAACAACCCGCAGTTTGCCACCGAGTATTTCGATAAGAAAATCAAAGCGGATGTGATCACCGCAGCGTTCAACAACAAGGTCCAGGTGAAGGATCCCAGCTCGTACAAAGATGTCACGGCCATCCAGGAGTCGGAGTTCATATTTGAGCTGGTGAAAGAGATGCAGGACTACAGCCAGATGGAGAAAGCTCTTCACAAAGTCCTGCAGAGGATCGCGCTGATGATCCAGGCGGACAGGTGCAGCTACTTTGTGTTTCGCAGCAGGAATGGCTGTCCGGAGCTGACCACGGTCCTGTTCGACATCACTCATAACTCCACCTTTCAGAGCAATCTGGTGCACCCCAACGTGGAGATCGTCTACCCCACCGATATGGGGATAGTGGGGTACACCGTGACCTCAAAGAAACCCCAGGTCGTGGCAGATGTGAAGAAGGTAAGCGTGTTGTGTGTGTATTTTGTAGAATTGCAAAGTAATATAGCTCTTGATGTGATGTTCAATGAACTGATGTTATTGAAACAACAAAATATGATAATGTAAGAAAGATGGAGATCGAGGCATTTTTAAGTGATAGCAATATATTTCCATTTCCAATGTTTATAACAGATTGTTTCAAATATCAGGCTAAAACAATATCAAATAGAAAAAATATTAGTTGATATCTGTGCCGATAAATCACCTATTTGCTCGTATATTTGTCCCACAGTGGAGAAAAGGCTGTTTCAAAGGATTAGGAAATATAAAACCGGTATACAATTATAACAACGCACTGGTATTGTCCTAGTAAAGTAAATTCAGAAATGGTTTATAATCTACTTTAAAGCTGAGGTACCCAACTTTCAAACCACGAACATTACATGGAACTATGTAATAAAATCTAGTTTAATAACAATTGGTTTGGTTCTATGCATGTACCTCAGGTTACAATACAATGTACGACACAAAGCTCACGATATGACGATGCAGCGATTATTGATATATTTGTCAAACATATACCTACGATAATGTTTTTCTTATATTTATGGCATAAATTAAGTGAAAAAATACACTTTATTTCAAGATAAATGGATAAAGTGTCAAAAATATGATTTATTTATTTTTTTAAATCGATACAAAAACATATTGATAATCGGTTGCGTGAGAAAGTATCACGATACATCACCATATCGATATATTGTCACACTCCTACACGTCATAAGAGCTGCTTTTTTCAGTAAAAGTGAAAAAGAGAGAACCACCCTCACCCAGCCAATCAGCTCTCAGTCCAAAGAGACAAAATGTGACTCATGGGGACTTTCTTACAAGTATGCAAAAGATAACAGGTTTTCTAATGAGATGAAGGCTAAATGTTCTCCGATTTCTTCATAACCTTTTACTTTTAGACAAACGACAATTGTTATTTAGAAAAGCTAGGTACCCAGGCTTTAAGTATAACATTTAAAGGAAATAATACTAAGGAGTGAAGAAGAAATAAACATTACTTTGCCAACATGAGACAGAGACACAATATTTCTGTAGTGGGCATGTGTTTCCTTCTACTTATACCTAATTATAATTCACCTAATGCCAAATAAACCTTTGTGTCTGTACTGATTGTATATTTTGAACCCCCAGGACTCTCACTTCAGCGACTTTGTGGACAAGCAGACCAAGTACACCACCAAATGCATGCTCACGGCCCCCATCATGAGCGGGAAGGATCCCATCGGAGTCATCACGGCCCTCAACAAACAGGGGGCCGACGAGTTCTCCAAAAGTGACATCGACGTGAGTGTCTTTGAACTACCACACGAGACTCATGATGTGACTGCAGCCATCGGGCCGATAATAGGAACGACAAATATAGCACACTTCCTGTCTCTGACCTGAACATGTTAGTGCTCCATGCAATAATCCAGTTATGAACAAGCTCAGACCTGGTTAACCTTTTGGCACTTTGTTTTGAAAGGGACATACAATATTGTTTCCAGTAATTAGTTTAGAACAATAACATAAATACGTCTGATTCTTTCTAAATCGCAACACTGATCTAAAAAATTATAGATAACAGCAGTAATAGATTTTTCAAATAATCCAAATTCACCCTTTGGCTTCTCTTGAATGTCAGCTTATGTTTTTTATATATTTTTCTTTTATATATTTTTGTTACTGAATTTAGTTGTCCACTAACGCTTACCCTTTCCCAATTTATATCCAATATATTTCCACTGGATATGTGAAAAGGGGAAGTTTCTGTCTACAAAACTTTCAAATGCTGTATATTATTGCATGGCGCCGTAAAGCCGTAGTCTTGCACAGTTTTTCCTATGTGGTTTTACTGCAAATGGCAAATAAATGAATCTGAATCTGAATCTGAATCTGAATATTAGATTACTACAAATGTGCATGTATTAATACTTATGATTACAACATTCACATATTCAAATGATCAAACATTGTCGTAATACTGTGTTAAAAATCCATGTGTATATTTTATTGATTAAATATATATCTTTTGGTTTTGTTTTTGACAGCTTTTCACCAAATATGCAAACTTCGCCACGCTGGTTTGTCTACAGGCGCACACCGCGTACATGTGGGATGTCGAGTCCAGGAGGAGTCAGGTCTGTGTCAAATGCAAACAACGGTCCAATAAACTTGTATTTTTACCGATGATTGTATTATCTGGCTGTATATTTTCCTCCAGGTGCTGCTGTGGTCTGCCAGTAAGGTGTTTGAAGAGTTGACAGACATCGAGAGGCAGTTCCACAAAGCTCTGTACACAGTGCGCACGTATATCAAATGTGAGAGATACTCAGTGGGGTTATTGGACATGACTAAAGACAAGGTTCGCTCCATTGTTTTGCCTCTGCACACATGTCAAACACGTTGCAAAATGTAACTGTATATTTGTTGCGATTCTAGGAGTTCTTTGATGAATGGGCGATCAAGTTAGGAGAGCAGGAGGCGTACAAAGGTCCAAAAACTCCAGATGGCAGAGTAAGTTTTTGAAAATAGCATATATTTATGGCAAACGCCATTATTAAAGGTGATGCCTGAAACTTCAATTGTATTTCATTTGGAAAAGAATACATCTTTTTTGACCATATGACCCTGTATCATCTATATCAGGGGTGTTCAAACTTTAGTTCACCAGACTTGACCAGACAACCCAGATTTTAAAATCGTTTACAATGGGGCATATTGTATGTGCATATTGTACATTTCCTTCTGGTCACAGTCTTCTGGTTTCAAGGTATAAAAGTTAGAAATTTGTAACTGTTGAAAAGTCTTAACGTGTGTCTGTCTATGCTTAAAAGTAAACAAATGGATTCTGAACTAGGTAAAACATGTCAATACTTGTGGAGCTGAAGTTGGCTGGATGACACTGTTAAAGGAGCTATACCTGTTTCTGCAAGGTTTGAATGTTTAGCACCGCCCCTCGACTCGCTCACAGGTCTCTCATTTCCCCTACGCTCTCATCCCACGAAGCCATCTAGTTTTATTTGCGATCTGACACATATGCAAACATTAGCATGAGCGCAACTTCTTGTAAGTTGTACAACAATCACTGATGAAATGGAACAAAAGCAACACACTGCTATTAAAACATATAACTGAAAGATTACCGCTAGTTTTGCGTCCAAATGTAGTCCGAGCATAGATAGTCCGAGGCGGTCCCGCTCCCCCAGGTCACTCCCATAGACAAGTCTCTCCAGAGGACACGATGTAAGCTAGCTATGATTTCTTCTTTGATCATTTTTTTGCTTAGTTCCCTCTTCTCTTCCTCACTGTTGCATCGTTCGGGCTGTTTTGCTGTGTCTGCGGTTACAGCAAGAGACACTTTTTGCTAACATGCTACTGTGTTTAGCTGCGCTGTAGAGGCTAGAGGACGCAGCCTCCTTCTGTGATTGGAGGAGAACGAGCGTCATGCTACGTTTCTACTCAGCACTTTTTACGGCCTGAGTTCATACACAAGCTGAATCAATGAGCTCAAGTTTTCAATTAAAGTACGGATTATAATACAACTTGTAGTAATAAGCATTTCTATGAACTCAATAGAAAAAAAAATGGGTATAGCTTCTTTAACTTGTGTTTATGATCGCAAAGACTACTTTCAGTCAGCAAGGCAGAGGGCCACATACATTGATACAGAGGACCGCATTTGGACATGCCTGATCTATATTAAATGTTTTTCTTAATCAATACATTCAAAACAGTCCCTGCCCTTGGAATAGGCCTCATAGTTAGATTTCTGGAGGAGAATAGTTAGACCAATAGGGAGGGGCCTCAGCTTTTGAAAAAGCATCTCTCCATCTTCTCAATTTGAAAAGACACTGACCTTCGTTTTAACATGTCTCTGTGAACTTCTTCAGGAAATCGCCTTCTACAAAATTATCGATTACTTGCTGGAGACAGAAAAGGAGGAGATCAAAGTTATCCCGTATGTTGAATGAACACAAACATGATTGTCGTTGCCATTATATTATAAAGTGATATTGTGATGTGTTCTTGTGCAGAGGTCCTCCTGCTGACCACTGGGCTCTGGTCAGCGGGCTCCCTTCGTATGTGGCAGAGAATGGATTTGTAAGTTACACTGTTGAAGCTTGATTCGACTGTGTTTATTTAACATCCTGATGTTGACATGATTGTTTTTCACACACAGATTTGTAACATGATGAACGCCAGCGCCGATGAGTACTTTACATTCCAGGTCATTTGATATTCAAGCTTTTGTATGAATTTGACATGTAGATTGTCCAGCAGAATGTCTTGTAAATGTAAAATGTCAACAAGTCAGACCACAACATGCTGTCTGAAACTCATCTAATTAGAAAACTTATTTTCTTCTGCAAACTTGTAAGACAGAGCCGGCTTTGACTCACTATTTGACTTGAGTATTTTCCTCCCA